AAAAATAAATAAAATGTCAATCAGAACATAAATGTCATAACTTCTCTTTCAGAAGCAACGACTATCATTAAGAATTGTGAAAGAAATATATAACATGAATACAAGGAGACGTAAGTTATTATTGCAGTGTGCAAGTTTAAGTTATCTGTCTGCCGAGTTATTCCAATTTATTAAATTAAATCGTTCCACAAGAAGATGGTGGGTTCGACCAATAAATCGTCCACGTGATGATTTTGGTCATTTCCATAATCTGTTTTCTTATATGAAAGAAGATCATGAAGAATTCTTCGAATTTACGAGAATGGTACCAAGTCAATTTAATAAGTTGTGTGATATGGTGCGTCCTTTTCTTTTAAAAAGATCTATTCGCCCCAGTCTGTCCGTTGAATTGCGTGTGGCCGTGACTTTATCGTAAGTGATGCATTGTGTTTCTTATTATTGATTATATACTACGAGAGGGAGAGAAAGAGAGAGAGAAGTATTCTGACATAGACTTCTTATTCATATGACAGATATCTTGCTCATGGTTCTAGCCTGCGAATTCAAGCATGGGATTTTCGTATAGGGCGTTCAACTATTTATAAAATAGTTCCTGAAGTTTGTAATGTTATTTGGCAAGCTCTTCAGTCAACTTATTTACCAGCACTGAGGTAAAATCAATGGGAACATGTGGCTAAAGAATACAAAGAGATGTGGCAGTTTCCAAATTTACTTGGTGCTGTTGACGGCAAACATATTCGGATTAAAGCACCCATCAATTCTGGATCTTTATATTTTAATTATAAGAAATATTTTAGCATAGTCCTTCTCGCTGCTTGTGATGCCAAATATCGTTTCACATGGGTAGATATTGGACAATATGGTGAGAAAATAACAAAATACATATTAATATTTGGTTAATTTTTTTATATTTATAACACAATTGTAATATCTCGGAGGACGGTGATAAGAGAATACATGCACTGAATTAAGATACTATGAGAGGAAAGTCACCAATACTGGTATAAGCTATCGTGGCAAAAGCTATCCTGGCAAAAGCTATCGTGTTTGAACAATAATTAAGACAAAACCATGATATGATTTTTTATATTTATTATAATTGTCTATTTTATATTAAGGTTCAGTCAGTGATGGAGGTGTATGGAATAATACAGATTTTGCCGAAGCTTTAGAAAAAGAATTGGTCGATATACCTCCTCCAAAAAATTTGCCAAATACAAATATTATAACGCATTATGCTTTTGTTGGTGATGAAGCGTTCCCTCTAAAATTATACATGTTACGTCCATATTCAAAAGACAATTTGACAGATGCACAACGTATTTTTAACTATCGTCTGAGTCGTGCAAGGCGAGTGATTGAAAACGCGTTTGGAATTTTAACAGCAAGATGGCAGATTCTTCTGAATACAATATGTCTTAATCCTGAAAATGCTACTGCTGTTGTCAAAGCTTTAGTATGTTTACACAATTTTATAATGATCACAGACGAAGAAATGAATAATGCGCCTGATACGCGATTGTACTGTCCTCCTAATTTTGTGGATAATATGGATAATGAAAATGGAGAGTGGCGTAACATAAGAAGAGATAATGTTGTTCTTGCCGATCTAACACGTTTGGGAAGCAATAATGCATCACGAAGAGCAACAGAACAACGCAATATTTTAAAAGACTATTTCCTCTCACCTATTGGAGAAGCACAGGCACCATGGCAGTATAATCGTGCCTTTCGAGGAATAAATATTAATTTGCCAGAATAATATGTACTTTATGAAGGAATAAACTTTTATTGTGTGCAGTGTACATTTATAATATTATATACTTTATTGCGTCATTTATTTCATACAATACAATATGCAATATTAAACTTAAAAATATTTTAAATAATTAACTTCAAAACATTTAACATTTAACCTATTTTACATTATCAACTTCAGATATTAATGGCCGCTTGCCTTTTCGATATATATCACTAATGCGCAACACGTCTATCATGAATGATAATTTAGAATCTTCAGGAATCAATTGCAATGCAACTTTGAAGATGTCCGACTCAGCTTCTTTTTCTTTATTTTGAGAAAGCTCTGACATGCAATCATTGGCTATCTTCGCAAAGGTGTTAACATTATTTGTTAGTAAATCCATTGATTCATTCTTCTTCTTCTTAGAATTTTTATACATATCATTGGGAGGTACTTTGTTCTCACGTTTCAATGTCACCTTTTGCCTGATACATGACAGCGAAGTGTCATGTTCCGTATCTCTTGTCACTAGAGTTACAGAGAAAAGAAGCACAGATATAATGAATAGAAATGTAGGT